ATTCAAAACCTTTACAACTTCCAGTAAACATCCTGCCTTATTTAGTGTGTCACCACTCATCTAGCTCTCTATCAATTTCATCCAACTCTGTTGCTTTGTGTTTGTGTTAGTAGACGAGCTGAGAGAGGAAGGAATGAGAGAGCAAGAACGGACGAAAAAGCACCAGACCAGCAGGAAATGATGGAGACATTACACACAAAGTGAATGACAGGTACAGAGAATAACCGAAACTGAAGATGTATGTGCATGTGTGGCTTGATTGGCAGGATGTGGTCAGCTTCAACTGAGCCTTTATCATGGTGTAACAACACTGTTCGTCCAACATTTATTTTTATCTGGTACAATACTAACATTGCTGGCCATGTTATGGTTTACATTACAATGCTGCTTACGAATTAACCTTCTCTGAATAAATAAATACAGCAATACATCTGTAAACACAGGGAATATGTATTCCCCAGTGGACCAGTGAATGATTTCCCACAGAGAATCAATAAATTCTACAGAAATGCATAGAAACAAATTTTTAGGTTACAAAACGTGAACGCAGCCTCCCTCTTTTATTTGTTCAGCTAACTTCTTGAAAAGGTCGGCATTGAGAAGTCTGCTCATATCAAACGTTCATCATGTTTTAAAGTAGGTGTGTTTCTCCTTCCGACCAGAAATATGCTTCTCTTTTGTGCATGTGTCTGTACTCTAGTCTTGCAAGCTGTTGGCTAGTTGTTTTTTTACAGAGCTGACTGTAAACAAGCAAACGGCAGTAAAAACCCCTAATGAGACACATATTCCAAATGCACTGTATACATGTCCAAAGAATGCTGTGCTTACAAGTCTGTGGGACATTTTGAAGATAGTGCTTTGATAGGCCACACTGACACAGTACTTCCCAATGAAGGATATTTATTAACAGTGTTCACATCATTTTCATGTAGTCATCAGAAATTCTTGTAGCCACAAGAAACTGGCAACTGGATGTATTAGAAATACTAGCATACAGCAAAGAGAAAGTTTAAGAGAAAATTATAGGTATAGGTAGAAACAACAACAACAACAAAACCAAATCGGCTGCATACAACGGACTCTAATTTGCCACTTTGAATGATAGAATGACAATTAGCATGAGGTTGTGTCAATACTTATATTCATGCATCAAATGGATTAGCAGAGGTGGATCCATGTTTTAAAAAAAGGATCTTCATGTGGAGGAAGATTCCTGATGGTAAATACTGGTGACCAAAGACATTTGAAAAGCTAATATGTAACTGATATTGAAAGCACTGGTTTGCCACTTAATATTACATTAATAAACTCCCTTTCCAATCCATTTCTTATCTATTTCTTAAATAAGTAAGAAACCCCATTATTCAAACATAAACTTATATGAAGGATATGAACTCAACATCATCATAGGCAATAATAAAAATGATGATGGGTCTGAGAGAGAGAGAGACATCTGTGTTTTATTTTTTTTCTTTTATTTTCAACACTTTAGAACTTATTTTACTGTGACTGCCTTTCCTATCAACTGCAAACTCTATTGTCAGTATTAATAATTAGATTTATCCAGGCACTGTTAACATGAGTGGCACAAGGTAAACTCTAAGCTAAAATTGATTATAGAAAAACATCAGAGGTGAAAATGGCTGGGTATATAACTTTTCCATGTCACTTAGATGTTACTTTTCACAATCCCTTTTGAACTGAGAGACTCAAACAGAATGTCAGGAAAACAAAGCCAGAAACTCTCTAACGTCTGATACTCTGCAGAGACGCGCAGATATCAGGTAAACACTGCAGGCTATCCTGAGAGGACGTGTTCATACTGAG